TTAGGAAATGTGCAAATGATATAAGGACGGTTTCCAAATAATTACAAATGGCCAACACGTATCTGAAAAAAAAGACATTAGGATCACTAGGCATGAGGAAAATGCAAATAAATTTAGACGCATCATGGTGTAGACAAAGTCGGAAAGTCTAATATATTGTCAAGGTGTATTTTACAATTTCACAGGGAGACCTTTTATTCTGAAGCAGAATAGAAGAATGCTAGATTTGCAACTTTTATTGAAGGGCTATACTACTGTAATATGGAGGGAAATGGCGGGGGGAAGTGGAGGAAGAACACAGTAGAGGGAAAGGGGGAGATCCCTATACCTAAAAACGGTATAATAAAATAATAAAAAAATTAAAAACAACATACCTTTAAAAAAGTATTTCTGCAAGAAAAAAAAAACAAAGAAAGAAAAAAGAAAATGCAAGTAAAATCTACAATGAAGTATTATCTCACCCCAGTCTGAGTGGCTATGAACAGAAACCCACAAAATAACAAACGCTGCCAAGGCCGTGAAGAAAAGGGAAGCCTAACACGGTGGGAATGCAAATTAGTGTAACCATCATGGACAGATGGTTACTGTGCCACTTCCGGAAACATACCCAAAAGAAATAAAGTCCACATATGAAATGAAACCTATACTCCCAAGTTTACCACAGCCCAGGTTAAAATAGCAAAGATACAGAATAAATCTGGATGTCTATTGACTGATGAATGGATAAAGAAAATGTAGCATATACTCAATGGAGTATTACTTAGCCATGCAAAAATAATCAAATCCTGACAACTGTAACAAAATAAACCGGGGATCACTATGCTAAGTAAGGTAAGCCAAACAGAGGGAATTATATGTTTTCTTTTAAATGTTTAAGTTAATACATACACAGAAAGTAAAAAAAATGTACAGATAACATTTTTTGACATATAGCTTTAAATGTTGCCTTCACTGATTTACAACCTGCACATAATACACCCTCCTGTTATATCCTTCCTTCTTCATTTTATGATCCATGTCTTGAGTTCCATGTAATATCATACTAATATCAAGAAAAATAGCATGGGGATACATCCTATCTGATCAGAAGACTCACCATAGTAACATCAACTGTCCTCAAACAGAAATATAAAGATAATTCCAACAAAAATTACAAGCATGGTAGCTTAGTGGCTAAATCCTCGCCTCGCATGCGCTGGGATCCCATATGAGTGCCAGTATATATCCCGTCTGCTCCACTTCTCTTCCAGTTCCCTGCTTGTGGCCTGGTAAAGCAGGAAAGGATGATACAAAGCCTTGGGACCGTGCACCCACATAGAAGGCTCGGAAGAAGCTCCTGGCTGCGGGTTGGCTCAGCTCCAGCCGTTGTGGCCACTTGAGGAATGAAGTGGATCGGAGACCTTTTCTCTGTGTATCTCCTTCTCTGTGTAAATCTGACTTTCCAATTAAAAAAAAAAAACTAAACATCTTTTTTAAAATCACAGCACAAGCATTCCTTAGATACAGTCAAGCGGATTCTAAAATTTATACAAAAAGTAATGGCTAACTACCTTATTAGAATAGTTAAAACAATATTAAAATGAAAAAAGTCACAGGGATCACGATGACTGACTTTAATAATATCATTGTAAAGAGTTGAAAGAAAGCTGCAGCAATGAAGATAGTGTGTTATTGGTGAAACATTAATGGAATGAAGAGCAGGAATCCAGAAATGTGCTCACATGTATGACTGGTTTGCAAAAGTTCATGGAAGATGGGCATCATAAAAAAACTTAAGCATGGATTTCAAAACCATTATTTTTGCATTGAAAGAAACATCTATTTCCATTTTCCACAAAGTTTTCAAAGTACCTTTATAGATGGCCAACTGATTTCTGACAAAGATGTGAAAGCTTTTCAGAGAAATGATGCTCTTGCCACCAAATGCTAATGGTTTAACTGCATATCCATATGCAAAAGCATAACAAAGCTTACACGTTATACAAAAGTAACTAAAACTGTATCAGTTCTAAATATAAATCACAAAGTTGTAAGATTTTCAGAAGAAAACATAAATGAAACTTTGTATTCCAGAATTCTTAGACATTACACAAAAAATAATACATAAAAATTTTTAGTAAAGTGTATTTTATTAAAACCATAAACTTTTGTTCTTCCAATGACACTGTTTAGAAAATGAAAAGACAAGTACAGACTGGAAGAATATATTTGCAAGTCACATGTCCCACAAAGGATTTTTATCCAAAATACAGAAAAAAAAAATTCTCAAAAAATCAACCATATGAAAATTAACATTCTGTTCATTTAAAAACAGTAAAAAATGTTACCTTTTGGGTAAACTGTGTCAAGGATATACAGAGTTTCTCTGTATTATTTCTTCATGTACATGTAAACATCAACAATTATTTCAATAAAAACTTCAGTTAAAAATAAACCAGAATACAGGAAAATGGCTAAAGCTTTGAAGAGGCACATCAACAAAGACAATATATGGACAACACAAATAAGCACAAGAAAAACACTTATCACTAACCATTGGGGAACTGCAAATTCAAGCCACCAGGTTAGACTAGCACATACCTGTGTAGATTGACTAAAATAAAGAATACTAATACTGCCAAGTGCTGAAGAACATCTAGACAAACTAGAACTCTTACTCATTGCTGATGCTAATGTAAAATGATATAGCTGCCTAGGAAAACAGTTTCGTAGTTTCTTAAAATTTTTGAATATCATTAGCTCAGCAATCTCACTTTTAGGTATCTTCTTCAAGTGAACTAAAAACTTATGTTCACCAAAAAAGCTGTGCATAAACGTTTACAACCCAGCTTTATTTGTAAAACTCAAACTGGAAACAACTCACACACTCTGCCAAAAGGTGAAAGGTGAAGGGATAAGCAAGCTGTGGTACATCCATGGCCTGGATTACTGCTTAGCGATAAACCACTGAAACACCAAATAACTTGAAAAAATTCCAGAGATTGTTCTGAGTTAAAAAAAAAAAAAATCCAGGCCCAAGAGGCATTTTTTTTTTTTAATCATGAGCTAGCGTTCCTTTGAAACATATTGCTTATAAATAGTTGGACAGCTGCCGTGTGCAGAAGAGCTCAACATCAGGCCAGGCAATGGTTCTGATGTACTTCTTGTCATGAACGAAGATGAGCAGGACAAGTAAAACTAATCTCTGAGGCATAGGCATTTGGTGCAGCAATTAAAATGCTTACATCCCATGTTCAAATGCTAGCTCTGCTTCCAATTCCACTCCCTACCAGTTTATACCCTGGGAGGGAACAGGTGAAAGCTAATGTGTGGTTCCCTACTGTCATGTGGGAGACACAGATGATATTTAAGGCTCCTGGATCTGCCCTGGTCTTAGTAAATTTCAGGCAATCAGGGGTAAGGGTGGGCCAGCAGATAGAATCTGTTATGTCTATCTCTGTGTCTAAATTTCAAATAAATCTAAAAACTCTAGGTATTATATTGTGGCAAAGCGGATAATGTCACCACCTGCAAGGCTGGCATCCAATATGAGTGCTGGCTCATGTCCCAATTACTCTGCTTCCAAGCCAATTCCCTGCTAATGGCATGGTAAAAGCAGAGAAGATGGTGCCAAGTGCTTGAGCCCCTGCTATGCATGTGGAAGACCTGGAAGGAAGTGTAGTCTCCTGGCTTAGGCCTCACCTAGTCCTAACCATTGTAGTCATCTGGGGGAATGAACCAGTGGGTAAAAGATCTCACTATTTCTCCCTCTTTGTGTAACTCTAACTCTCAAGTAAATAAGTATTTTTTCCATTTGGATAATGAAAAATGAAAAATTCAAGTAAGTAAGTATCTGAAAGTGAAACGTTTTCGGATTAGAACGAGCCAAAGTCATTTTAAAGCCAAAATTTGAAGGAAGAAAAAGTGTGCATAAAAATAACACATTTGAGACAGACAGAATGCAATCAAGGATAGCCATGGTAATTTGTAACCCAATGAAAAGCGCATTGCTTCTGCTTCAAAAGCTGCCTTCGTTCAAGTCTACCATTCAATCCTATCTTTATGAGGATCACTCCAAATACAGCTTCTATCCTTAAGTTCTCTATTACTTGTCTACCGTTGCTACAACTAATGATCAAAAACTGAGTGGCCTGAAACAACCACATGTATTAGCGTACAGTTCTGTGGGTTCGTAGTCCAACAGGGGTCTCACTGCCTATAAACAAATGTTTGCAGGGCAATGTTTCTTCTTGAGGCACTAAGGGAGATTTGTGCCCTAGCATTTCTAGCTTCTAGAGAGCTCACTCAATGCTTTGGAGTCCCCTTTTACTATTTTTGACAATTATTTCTTTGTTGTTATGTCTTTGAACCCCTCTTTCATTTTCAAGGACCCCTTATGGTTTCACCAAATCCAAAATGATCTTTCTTAAAATCAGGTGAGTAGCAATTCTGTTAAGCTTACTTTTCTTTTGCCATATAAGCTAACATAATTACAGGTTCCGGAAATTTGCAGATGGAACCTGAGGGGTTACTCTGTCTACTACAAATTCTATTGAGATTTCACATATGAATGTATTATTATGTTGCATCTTCAACCCACCTTGATGGTATACTGGGAACCAAGGATGTCTGACATAATATTAGTTAAGTAGAGCTTGGGTTTCTATTTTTCAAAGTCAAGGAAGTATATTTTACTAACATTCTTATAAAATAAAAAGCAAAGATTCTTTATCTCAGATGGAGTAGGAATTGTCAAGCATCCCCAACAGTTTCCCATTAATGGAAAACATTCTAGAAATTATTCTGGGGATCAATATTAGGCTTTTAATTGTTTTTCCAAATGAGAACATAACACACTCCCAGCTATTCTTCAATATCTATCAACTATCCTCATCAATATTTTATAAAGAATATCTAACATTAAAGAATAATCTCAAAATAACAAATACTTGCATAAATTATTTTAACCTAATGGAAAACAAATGATTATTTTTTTGGTTTTACTTTTGTGATTGATTTACCTGTGGCAACCACGCCACTATCCACATGTGTCAAGGACTGAGGGCGGTTGCGAAGTTTACTTTTGAAAGATCTTGGTCGGCGTGGTGATGCAGGTGGTGGCGAAGCAACTTGCACCGACTGGGCTTTGTTATCTTTAATTGACCGAAGGCGATCGTAGAGCTCCTGTAGTTCCTTGTTCTGTTGGGTTTGAAGATTTACCACTTCCTGAATATGTCTAAATGAAAACCATGCAGAAAACACTTTAATGGCTTGGAGACCACAAAGATGATGAGCCAGGAAACACTAAGCCACTACAAGCAAAGGTTAAATTAAGAATGGAGAAGTAGCCAAGAATATTTACAATATTAGAATGGGAAACACCTTCCTAAGCCTAACATTAAACATCACTCACAGAGGAACACATCAACAAAAACAAATTTCTAAAACTTGAATATAGTGAAAAATAACAAAATTTAAAGCCAATTAGTTATAATTATTAATATTTCTCTTATTATAAGCATAAGCAGGAAGAAAATATGTGAACCATATACTCCAGGGCTAGCATTCAGGACATATAAACAGCTCACAAAAACCAGTTAAGAAAAACAAAGACTTTATACAAAAAACGGAAGGGGCTGGCACTGCAGCCTAACAGGTAAGGCTGCTACCTCCAAGGCCAACGTCCCATATGAATGCTAGTTCTTTGCCTCATATACTCTACTTCCAATCAACCTCCCTGCTAGTGGACTGGGCAAAGCAGTGGAGGATGGCCTAAGTATCCAGGCCCCTGTCACCTATGTGGAAGACCAAGATGAGGTTCTTGGCCTTGGCCTGGCTCTGGCCACACGAGGAAAGAACCAGTGGATGAAGACCCCTCTCTCTTAGTATCTCCCTCTCAGATTCAAACAAATAAATTGGGACAAAAAATAAAAAGGCCTTTTGAAAGAAGAAATAGATTTAGTAGCCAATAAACACAAGGTAACAGATAATCTTACCATTAATAAGAAAAAGGAAAAATTTTATATATTTTTATCTAACTGGGATAAAATTTAAAAATGCCTAACATCAGCCTGTCTGCAACTGAAGAAAGGGGCACTTTCATATACTTTTTTTGAAATGTAAAATGTGAAATATTTTTGTTTAGGGTTATGCTTGAAACATGGTTTAGCAGAACCTATCAAGTTAAAATCTATTCACCTTTTAACTTTTACAACTTCCACTTGTAAATATTCTACAAAAAATACTCATAAATGTCTAAAGAAACATAACAATGTTCACTCCAACATGTTTTATGTAACAAAACATGGGGGAAATTAAAATTTCCATTAAAGAGGAATCAATATGCATACACCCACGCACTGAAACAGTACACAGTAGTTGTAATTTATTTGTGTAAACATGTGCATGGGTGATAACTTAAAAATGCAGAATATGTATACTATGACTCCACTTTCTTAAAAAGCAAAAGCTACATATGTGTACAAATGTACAGAATAAGAGTGGCAAGGATCTGCCCAACAGTTCACAGTGGTCACCTCTCAAAGTGAGACTCGGGCACGAGAAATGGGAGCTTGTTTCTCTTGCTGTTTTACTCTTGTTTAAACCTTTTCTTATGCAATACTTTCACTCATCACCACACTTCTCAGACGACAATTAATTCAAAATAAAATAACTGTAAAGCCTAAGCTCACTATTACGGGATTATAGGACTGTAAACTGTGAGACTATCGTTCTCAGGGTATAAGAAATTTGCAAAGAAACCAGAGAATCCCTCCCACCCCCCAAAAACCATTAAAAGTATAGACTAAATCATAAATTTCCTTCCAGGCCTCGAGCTCCATGAGGTTTTGAGACTCCATATCCTATCTTCAATATAAAGTACCCATTACAGTCAGTTATAAAAACCAAAAACAAAACACCTGTCTTTTCAGAATGGCTTAAAAGAATCATTAGAAATAGAAATGAGTGCCATTTCACCCATTTCTATTTTACACAGACACACACACAACAAAATATTATGGAAGAAATCACGCTATAAACAAATAATTATATTCAAACTATGAAAATGTTTGATATGCAAGAACAGTAATATCCATAAATCCCTAAGATTAGCATTCTTCATACTTTTTACCATTAAAATGATTTTAATCACTTTCATTCATTAAAATACCACCAATTCTCAATTAGCTACCACTCAAATAGTACTGGTCAGGGACAGCCAGATTGATGTCAGAAGATAAACAGCTCTTACTTTTCTCGTAACTTCTGAAGCTCCACTTTCAAGTCTTCATCTTCTATTTCTGACTCATTGTCACTGCTCATTGGGGAAGATGGAGAATAGAAAAGCGAGCTCTGCGTTGCGGTATAGGCTTGTTCCCTTTGCTGGTGTGGTAAGCCTGGATCATGCTCTGCACCAGCCTTTGCGACAGCCTTTCCACTGCCAGAAAGTGTAGTTGAAAATTCACTATCAGAACTAAGCTGTTTGCTAGCAGCCAGTGTTTTTCTCTCTTTGAGCAACAGTCTGGAATCAGAGTGCATGCTACTTCCTGTAGCTGAAGTTTCTCCCAACTCCTTTTCAGGAGTCACTGAAGATACGTCAGTCTCACATGTCGTACTGAAAGATAAGAAGGTGTCACCCTGTTTGGGAGCTCCTTTATCTTCGTCAATGGTTTGGTGCAGAGTTCCTATCTTCAGAGAAGAAAGTGAAGTCTGTACATTCTGGGCAGCAGGTTCCAGGTCTGCCGACTGAGACTTTGCTCTTTCCGTAAAGGCTCGAGCTTCTTCCCTAGAATGGTTTATTGTTTCGCTCGATGCAGGTTCCATTTCAAACGAAGCTGCTTCCACGGACTCCTGCTGGGGAACCGTAATCACCTGAGACACAAAAAGGTAAAATTGTCTGGCAAGGGACCTAACCAAAAGGTGACATCAGCAAGGAAATTGAGCATCACTACACAGCATAGTTAAGTGGATGGTCTACTGTAACGTACATGTATTAATATTACCAAAAAATATCTCATCTGTGCCCCCTCTATCCAAATCTTTTCAGTCAGTCTCCATGAGACTTGGCATCACATCGCTCATGCAAAATTCCACATTAAAGCTTCCAAGACTGTGAAGGACAAGAAATTGAACTGATAAATAAAGATGACAAACCACCCACCAAAAATGATGACCCAGTTCAAAGTTCTTTTTGAGCCACTAAAACCCCCTTTTCTTTAGATTATCTCTGGTGTCTTCAAAATGTGAAGGGATATGTGCAAGAATAACAAGTTGAAAAATGATGTGTACATTTAAATCATCATTGAAAGGGCAAGATGTTCAGTGCTATTATAGCCGAGAGTGTTGTTGTAGATAAAGATTCAACTGAAAACACAAACCTGGAACCGACCCCGCTGAAATGATGCACCCATCGCTTTGCATCTACTCAAAGCCCTAGTGTCGGATGAAGATTCTCGTGTCAAAGGCATGGGATCGAGAGCAATTGCTGATCTTAACTCTTCTGTTTCAGCTGCAAGTTGTGCCAAGTTGTAAGTAGAAAAGAGAAAATTGTTAGAGTCTAAATTTGTTTACATTAACCAAAATGAAGACAATCAGAAAAAAATGTTAACTCCTGCTAGACAATTAAAACGTGTTAATGTAATAAGTAACATTGTAAAAATCCCTAACTCTAAATCACACATTGCAATATGTATCCCCAGATTTATTATCTACATGAAATGAATAACCAGAAAAGTAAATTGTATAAAATAAGGGAAAAAAATGGCAATGACATTAATGGGATATGTCACATACATAGGCTACATGGAAAAAAGTGGCAGGATTTGTATATGAACAATAATAACAAAAAAATAAGTAAATGAAAAATGATGTTACCTAGTCTATGTCCCTGACTGTAAGCACACTACCTTGACGGACTTTTGATCTCTTGAAAAAGCTAGTTGACTGCCGTAGCCTGTACGCCCAGCTTTTTAATTTGCGAGTCCAGGATTTCTTGCTAATAGGATTTTTGAGACTAGGACAAGTAAAGCTTAGGCCAAAATATCCACCTCCTGTCTGCAGACGAATGGCTCCAGCGCTTGACACAGCAGCAGGATAGGGCTCTGGATCCCCTGGAAGTGAAGCCTCTGGGGACATCTCCTAATGGAGACAAAGAATGAGAAACATTAAGCAAATAGTAATCTGGATAGGGAAGAAAAAAATTTTTTGGTTTCAGGTATACATTAATCATTTATCAAACCTAACGCATCTACATATAGTTAATTAATGAATATAGAAAACTAATACACACAACCAGAAAAACTGTGAAACACATGAAATCAATCACTACCAATTGAAGACTGAAAGCAAATATAAAAGCGCGAAGAATGAGACTTAGCACTTGTCGGAAGGAAGACAGCCTATCTGAGAGTAAGCATACTGTCCTGAGGACGCACTGTCAAGATGCAGGGCAAGACAGGAATTTCTGAAAGAAAAATTCTGTAGAATCAGATTTTTACCTTCTAAAAATCCAACTGTGGACCACTAAAACCACCACTTTCATAAGAAGAGAAACAATAAAAAACTTAAAAAACAAACAAACAAACAAACAAAAAAAAAACCTTGAGAACACTTATAAAGTGTTGCTGCACTGTTCCCACTGAAATTACATAAAAGATTTTAATATTTAATAACTGGATGGAGATGGCAAATGAAACGTTTGTTCTAGCTTCCCTTATCAGTCTAAATCCGCAGACATGACAGAGGAAACAGATGTAGAAACAGGTATATAAAATGGAAGGAAGAAAAAACAGACCACGGCATATGTGGGAACTACTTCAAAATACTGTAAACTTGGGTGGCTAGGACTTTAAAATGCTCATGGGAAATTCACCTTTTCAAGTCCTCCCCTGATTACTATGATACAATCCTCAAGACTTTGTGTCATCATCCTTTAATTCAAATGAAAAAAACCTGACATATTTACTGTTCATTAGACATTTACTAAATAACACAGTAACACATGGGGCATCAAAGGAATATTCAGGTAGTTTAACCACTAATGCTATTGCACCAGGCGGGCCCAGTAATGAGAAATCTAAAAAGAAACTGCTGTGGTCTCAATGTCTCCATCAAAACTCAAGTGGAAATTTAATCTCCACTTTGATTTACTAACAGGGTTGTACCCTCACGAGCAGAAAAAAACCTGCTAATGCATTACACAATCAATGGATTATAAACGAAGAAGCTTTGCTGTAAAAGAGAATTTATGACTTGCTGACATCATAATGATCCATTAGATAGTGACATTAGACAGAGTCTTCTTGACACCACAAAGTTTAAATGCAGAGAGTTATTTTATTTGGTTCTAACTATACTACCAGATCATCGGATAACATATAACATAAATGCTATTTATTTGAGCTGATACAGGTTAAGCTGCCAAAATAGAAAGAAATCTCTATAATGCTAATTTTCAAATATATAATGCTATTTATTATTGTTATTCTTAAAACAAGTTATAGATGAAAGCAAACTATTCAACCAGGGAATGTAAATGTTGCAAACCCAGCGCGGTAGCCTAGTGACCAATGTCCTCGCCTTTAACATGCCGGGATCCCTTATGGGCACCAGTTCCAATCCTGGCAGCTCCACTTCCCTTCCAGCTCCCTTCCTGTGTCCTGGCAAAGCAGTTGGGGACAGTCCAAAGCCTTGGGACCCTGCAGCCACATGGGAGACCCAGAAGAGGCTCTGGACTCCTGACTTTGGAAAGGTACAGCTCAGGCTGTTGTGACTGCTTAAAGAGCAAATCACTGAACAGAAGATCTTTCTGTCTGTCCTCTTTTCTTTGTATCTGACTTTCCAATAACAATAAATAAGTTAAAAAAAAATAATGGCGGAAGGAAAGCAAAAACGAGATTTTCTCACTCTTCATAACATAAAGTCAACAGGGCTTGTTAAAAATTATCAAATCATAAAAGAGATGACTACATCTATTATTTTTAATTAGTGGCAAGAATTAAAATCAGACAGCTGCCAGTACTTATTGAGCGGGACGAAACATGGAAGAGTATTAATACAATTACTTTTATTTTTTCATCCTTCTGAATTGTTTTTTTATTTATATAATAATTATATAATATTAAAGTACTAGTTTACAAAAAAACACCTTAAATTATATCTATTCAGAGCCTGTGCTGTGGCATGCCAGGTAAAGCACTGCGTGCAGCAGCCACCGCAGCTGCTCGTTTGGATTCCAATTGCTACACTTCTAATCCAGGTGCTTGCAAATATGCCTGGGAAAGCAGTGGAGGAATAACCCGATTGCTTGGGCCCTTGCACTCATGTAGGAGACACAGAAGCAGCTCCTGGCTCATGGTTTCAGACTGGCTCAACTCTGGTAATTGTGGTCATTTGGATGGTGAACGAGATTGGACGGTGCACCTGCATGGGAGATCTGGAAGAAACTCCTGGCTTCTCTGGTTTATGACTTTGCATCAGCCCAGCTCTGGCTGTTAGAATCCCTCTGAAATTCTGTCTTTCAAAAAAAAAATCGGCTAAGAAATTACATCTCTTCAATGGAATATGATGTGTTTGTTTCAAAAACTAAGTTGGACTATGGGTATATACTGATATTGCTAGATGGACTTAAATAATGGGAAAAATGCAAAACAACAAATTTACATAAGCATAACATTTACCTGTGCTCTGTAAGTAATTAAAATTGTGTCTGGAAAGATTTAACAGCTGTAGACATAGGCTGAGAGAGGGACAAGTTTTACATTATATGCAAGAATACACTGCTGATATAATAAAAAGATACGGTGGTCAAGACACCTGTGAAAAGACACCTATGATGAAAAATAAGTTATAGATCAATATGTATATCTACAATGTTTGTGAATGAAATGTTGCCATGTGTACGTAAACAGATATTTGTAAGCATAAGAAAAGCAAATGTTCAATTTATTAGCTATTGCCCTTATGATTTGAAGGGATAGAAATGGGAAATAAAAGTTCTGACAGTATCTAATTTAAACAAATCTTGGAATTACAGATGATTTTTCCTTTTTTTCCAAAAGATTAATGTATTTAGTTGAAAGGCAGTTACAGAAAAAGACTAACAGAGAGAAACACTCTTCTGTCAGTTCATTTCCCCAACGGTCACAACAGTCAGAGCTGAGTTGGTCCAAAGGCACAAACTACAGGAGCCAGGTGTTTCTTCCATGTCTCCCTCATGTGTGCAGCGTCCAAACACTTGGGAGAGGAGGAGAGACAGAAAGGAAGATCTTTCACCCGATGATTCACTCCCCAAGTGAGCGCAATGGCTGGTACTGCACCAATCTGAAGCCAGGAACCAGGAACCTCCTCCAGGTCTCCCATGTGGGTGCAGGGTCCCAAGGCACTGGGCCATTCTCGACTGCTTTCCCAGGCCACAAGCAGGGAGCTGGATGGGAAGTGGAGCTGCCGGGATTAGAACCGGCTCCCATATGGGATCCCAGTGCATTCAAGGTGAGGGCTTTGGCTGCTAGGCCACACCACCGGCCCCAAAAAATCATTACATTTTTTACAAAGCAAACTGATAACAGGTATTTTAAGTGGAAATCTAACAAATTTCTGCTCTGGGGCCGGTACCACAGTGTAGTTCATTAATCCTCTCATGTGTGGACACAGCATCCAACATGGAACCCACTGGGTGTCCTGGCTGCTCCTATTCCCATCAAGCTCCCTGCTTCTGGCCCGGGAAAGCACTAGAGGATGGTGTAAAATCTTAGGTCCCAACACCCATGTGGGAGACCTGGAGGAAGTCGCTAGGTCCCAGCTTCTGAACAGTTCAGGTCTGGGTTTGCAGCCATTTGGGGAGTGAACCAGCAGATGATTCTCTCTCTCATTCCCTCTAATTCTGCTTTTCAAACAACAACAACAAATAATTCCTAAAATTTTTTCCATCATTAATATAAACATACAGATTGCTCTCATGGTCCCAATTCATGATAGGGCTTTCTTACAAAAGGTAGTTTTGCCAAATTTACTGAAAAGTGCCAAGTACCCGCAGTCTAAGTCATGGCCTTCTAAGATGTTTGTGGACTCTTGTGACTCGGACTATTTTATGTCAAAGGATGGAACTTTAGTGGAGAAGGCGTTTCTTTAGAATAATAAGGATAAAGAGCTGGCTGGAAAGAATTGATACTTACATGTAAACACAAGTCGCTGGGTACAGAAGTTATCACATTCAGGTCTCTTTTGAACACTGATATGTTAGGCTGACCTGCAGCCACATTTGACATAGTCTTAGAGTCTGTCTGCTGCAAATGAGGGGACTGTGCAGGACTATTCTGAGTTGCACAGTGAGTGACGGCTGTGACTTCCAGCACTGGGCAGGAAAGCATCTCTTCAGCTGAGGACGAAAATGGAGAGTCCATGCTCTGGGCTTCCTTCTGACTCTCAGGGTGGATAGTGGAGATGCTGTGCTCCTGGTACAGCAGATTTCTCAGCTTTTCATCCAAAGTTTTAATTCGGTTGTCTGCAAACTCCATTTTTGGAGGTCTTTCTCCATCAGATTCCAGGACGGCAGTAGGCAGAACAGAAGTATGCTCAATGCCAGGAGTCTGAATAGGAATTATTGTCTTAGGAGAACTCATTTCACTGGTTACTGTGGTTTCTCCTTCTTGGGAAATCAAGTCTGTATCCATATTCATTTGCTTTACTGCTAAGGACTGAGGCTTTTGATTGGACATGAGTACTGGAGTTGTATGAGAGCTTGCAGTGATCTGGGTTGATTCACTAACATGGACTTGATTGGCAGTGTGGTGACCTGGATAAATAGGCATAAATACGCCTGCTTGGTTGCTGAGTCCCTCGTGTTCAACTGAAACTGAATGGACTGAAGTACCAGTAACTGGTGCCACTGTGTCTTTAACTTCATAAAGTATGGCTGGAAGCTCAGATTTTATACTTGCACATTCAGGAATCTTGCCATCAACTACATCCTTGTGTTCTGTTTTGGAGGTGAAAAGTGCATGCTGGCATGAATGATTTTCTTTAGTTAGCAGCGTGTCCTGAGATACTTCCTTATTACTTGTGTTTCTTACACCTGAAATAATAACAAACAATGGCTAGGCATGTAATGGTGAGCATGAACCAAGGACTAGTACCAAAACTGAAGAGAGAAAGGTACAACAAGGAACAAATGAAAATTGGTGTGGTAGTTCTCATAGAGTGAAAATGTACAGAATTCAATCTCTCAAGGGATTAAAGAAAAACTTTTTTTCATTTTTTTACTAAACAATAAATTTAACAAGGCTTAAGCTGTATCCTAATAATGATGTCCTTAAAAATTTTTAGGACAATCCACATAAGCATAAAATGCCCGTGGCCTAACGCTGGGAGAATGGTAGCTTACTGGGAGATGTTTCTAGCCCAGGAACGGCAGACATAGACTGCTGAAAAGGAGACTGGGCCTCACGGTTTCTTATGGTCTGATTGATACAGAATCGCCACCGACCCACTGGGGAGGACTGAGGAGCAGATTCATCTGTGAAAAGAATTAGTAAAAAATTAGTAATGTTAATAGTTCACTTTATTATATTATTGCCTAACAACTTTGACTGGGGTTGGTGCTGTGACATAGCGCATAAAGCTGCTGCCTGCAGCACTGCTATCCCATAAGAGCTCCAGTTGAAGCCTGGGATGCTCCGCTTCCCATCCAGCTCTTTCCTGATGTGCACTGGAAACTAGTAGGAAATGGCCCAAGCCTTTGGGTCCCTGAACTGCTGTGGGAGACCTATTTAAAGCTCCTGGATCTTGGATTTGACCTGGATCAGGTCTGGTTATTATACCCATGTAGAGAGTGAGCCAGTGGATAAAATATTTCTATCCCCTTCTCATTCTCTGTAATTTTGCCTTCTAAATCAATAAGTAGATGTTTCTAAACAAATGACCTTATGCTTTAAAACAAATGAACTTTGTCTTGCATCTGCTTCCAGCAGCACTCACTTCTATATGTGTAATTTTTACAGCTAGGCATCTCAGCTCTGACAAATTGCATAAAGAAACTAAGTACTTGTTATCTTTAGAAAGGCATCTGATTCTATGTAAACAAATCAAAAGCAATTAGAAGAAAAGCACTCTGCTTAACAACTAGTATTTACAAGGACTGTGATTCAGAGAATGGGTCATTTAGTATGTCAGTCTTGGGAGCTCACTTATAAAGAAGGCAAAAAGTACTTGAGATTATTAAACAATTTCATAGAATTTCAGATTGAATTCATCTGGCATAACCAGATCAGAGTGAAATCAAAAGGGACAATTTTCAAAAACAAATCAAGATCACATTAGAAGACATGGCTAAACAGGGTCAAAATAAGAACCTAGTGCTAACTCTCCAAGAAACTTAATTTTTGAATGAGTCTAGTAAAAGTCAATTAGATGTCCCTGAGAGCGACAAGTAAAGTATGGAAATTCATTCATACAGGCTCACAGAAATCTTTATGCTTATTTGACTGCTTCCTAAGAGAAGTTCATGTGTCTATGAAACAATAAGCCTCGTGTGTGCACTCTGGTGTAACTAGTTAAGAAAACAACTTCAATGGAACTGACTGTTCCACTTCCTTCCTAGCTCTCTGCTAAAGAGCCTGGGGAAGCAGTGGAGAATGAGAATGGCCCAACTGCTTTTACTCTGGAACTTGTGAGGCAAACTCTGGACTCCTGGCTTCCGCCTGGCCCAGACCTTGTCATTGGGGGATGAATTAGCAGATGGAGGATCTCTCTCTCTCTCCCATTCTCTCTCTAGATATTTCAAATAAATCTTAAAGAAAAGGAAAAAGCAAATAGCAAAGCATTTTATCAACACCACATGGTAGGTGTCAGCAACCACTCCAAGGTGCTTCCCTTTCTTTCTTTTCTTTTTTTTTTTTAAGATTTATTTTATTTTTATTAGAAAGTCAGATATACAGAGAGGAGAGACAGAGACGGAGAGGAAGATCTTCTTTCTGTTGATTCACTCCCCAAGTGGCAACAATGACCGGAGCCGTGCTGATCATAAGCCAGGAGCCAGAAGCTTCTTCCAGATCTCCCACGTGGGCAGGATTAGAACTACTGCCCATATGGGATCCCAGTGCATTCAAGGTTAGGACTTTAGCCACTACTAGGCTACTGCAATGGGCCCCAAGGTCACTTTTCTTAAACAGAGAGAATAAAGGCACTCTTTGGAAGAAACAGAGCACACTGTTGTATGAAAACCTGCCTCTCCTGCTCTATATCTTGATATGGTGGGATACCTAAATGAAAACTAGACAAGTAATTACAATTTAGGTAATTATATTCTAAAGGAAAACATCAATTTTACTATGATAATTTTAAATTTTCAAGTAAAACAACCTTTGCAGCTGAACTTCTGCTGTGGAAATGATTTGACTCAGATGGGTGTTGTGATTTAAACTTTGTCAGTGAGAAATCTGCTCAGATTTCTGCCCATCAGAAACGTTAAGACATAGGAGGACTCTGGCATCCTTACTACAGCCAAACTCAATTTCAAGACAATGTTGCACGGCTCCATTATTCCCACACCACCTTTTGCTCCTTCATGTTTTTATAATCCCCTCGGGACACGTAACACCCTAACCAAAACAGACAAGCATGGAGAAGGAAGTTGTCACCAGAAAGGAAGATAGGAGACAACAGCAATGGTCTTGGGGGGTCTACCCAGTATCGTATTTACAAAAGTTAGCAGTCATCAGAACAGGTAGAATGAAATCAAAATCTGAATGACTACTAAGACAAATACGACGTAATGATTTTAATTAACAAAGTTTGTCTCATGTCAGAGACAAACTGAACATAGCAGTTAAGTTTCAGGTAGTTAGACCTTTAAAGAAACTGGTATTTTAGTAAAATCCCATGGGACAACTCAGAAGTAAAGCAAATAAAGACCCAACAGTTTGAGGGAACTGGAAGATGAACTTTCCCCTGAGACTACAAGTAAGGTGCATTTCAGTAAAGAAAATCTACATTAACAACAGAGCAAATGATGTTCTTGTGGAACATATTTCCCAATAAAGAGTGTAAATTAACGTTACCAAATGTCTCATGTCAAAAATCAAATGGGAAATATACTTACTACTAGTCTGAGTAGATGCTGAATTTATCTGTACTTGCTCAGCTGATCCAGCCTAAATTAAAAATAACCAGATAAGTAAAAAAGTTCTTGATGCATATCTAAGAAGACCTGTATGCTAAAGGATTTGCTCTTACTTGGTTACCAGTGGATTCCAAAGCACTTCCTTCCACTGCCACAGTAGAGCGGACATGAAGGATCTCCTGGGCTTGGACTACAATAGCTCGCAATTCTTCTACAAATTTTTCTTTCTCACTTTCCAACACAAAATTATCTTCAACCTGTTCCAAAGTAAAAGAAGCCTATTCATGAGAATGAATTTCATTTCCTTCAAATAGTGATAATGCATAAAACTTTACATTGAGTATCTAAATCCAAGTATCACAATAGAATTAAAAAATCAGTAACAAATGGTCACATAATGCATTAAATTTTCTGAGGCTACTGACATTTGTCAGATTGGCATTACCTAATTAATTAGATTTCCAACATTAAAAAAAAATTATGGTGTTTGACAAATTGTTTACTTGCAGAATAAAATTGAGGCAAAATTTAAAACTAGCAAGTTCAAACCCACAAGCTTTTAAACAACAAATCACAAATGAAATACCTCCAAAGATGGTAAAGTAAGGTCCAGAAGACCTTTAATTAGGCGAAATATTCATGAAAAGCATGAAAGAAGAAACAGTTCAGAAAATCACTGTTAAACAAGAGGCAGAACTAAATGAAATGATGACTAAAACTTGAACACCCACATGTCAGATGCTAGATCAGTGGTTAACATACTGGAATTACCTGGACGACATTTTACGCACTAACGATGTAAGCATCCCCGCCGCCACCCCCCTTCCAAGCAGATTTCATCAGGGACCAAGGCAACAGAATTGAAAAGAGCTTTTCAGGGGATTTTAGCATGCAACAAGAGAATCATTGATAGCAATCATATTTTAAGGGAACCATCTCATATTTCCCAGATAAATCAAGTGCAACTTGAGAAGATACAGTGACGTGCCCTTCATCATAATCATAAATTGTCAAAACTAACTGTATTTTTAAAAATATGGCTCTATAGAAAGAACTGGAGGAAAAGGGACAGAGAATATTGAAGGAAAAATAATTTGATTTTGCTGTACTTAACCATATAGTCTGCAATATCTTCTGGCGCATCACCATCAACATCAAACTTGAAAGTGACCATCTTACTGTTGTGAGTCTCCAGCTGACATTCCACCATGTTGTCTCCAGAGGTTGACACCTAAGTACAAACATTTCACCAACTGAAGAGTCAATCTTTGCTAACTAGTCAGGAAGCATTACACATAAGGGCACATTTAAGATATATGGAAAATGAATTAAACAGTTCAAAATCTGAAAAGATTTTGTGGATCCCAGATGAAACTCCACCTAGCTACTATATGACAAATTCTAACAGGTTCTAATAATAAGGTTTATACAGCCACATGCAAAAGTAAACAGAAAAAAAAATTTTTAATAAAAAGCAAAGGTATATGTAATGAAAAGACTTCAATCACTCATTTGCCAAATTCCCTTAAAGTTACAAATGGACTCCAATCAAGAGTAACTGGTAATGGAAATGCAAACAAGTTCAACCTTTCCAGACAGCATTCTAGCAAAATGCATTGAGAAAATTTCAGTCACCATGTTCTTTGTTAATTCTACTTCCAGGGATCAGTCATAAGGATACAATCAAGGCTATAAATATGAAGATTAATGTATATAAGGCTGTCTGCTGCAGAGGAAAGACAAACAAAAAGGGAACAAAAGACAGGCAGACACAGATACATAGAGAACTTAAAGAACGGAGGGAATAGTTAAACTGGATGTCTACACAACGAAGCCTAGCCTTATTAAAAATATGCTACTGAAATACTATTTAATTATACAGGAAAACATACATTATCTATTGATCTATAATTTTAAAAAAATATTTTATTTCTAATGGAAAATTACAAATACAGAGGAGTAGAGACAGAAAGGAAGATCTTCCATCCATTCATTCACTCCCCAAGTGGTCACAATGACTGGACCTGCACAGATCCAAGGCCAGGAGCCAGGAATTTCCTCCAGGTCTCCCACATGGGTGCAGAGTCCCAAGGTTTTGGGCCGTCCTTGACTGCTCTCCCAGGCCACAAGCAGGGAGCTGAATGAGAACTAGGGCCGCCAGGATATGAACCAGCTCCCATATGGGATCCTGGCACGTGCAAGGTGAGGATTTAGGCACTAGGCCATCACCCTGGACTCTATAATGTTTTTAAACATATAGAATATAAAACTGTATAGCACTTTCATGTAAATATCTATACGTTATATTGGAAAGTGCTATAGATTCTAATGTCTAAACTACTAGATATATATTTGGTGCTATCATTCTTAAGTGAAATAATCCTGGATAAATTATTTTACTTCTATGATCCTCAGTGTTGTCATTTTTTGTTAATGAATATAGTACCACCTAAAATAAAGGGTTACAAAATGATTAAATGACAAAATAAGTATATAACATTAGGGTACATACCACAAATGAATTCAATACATTTTCACTATTATTAGAAGTACAATTACATTTTCAATTTTAAAGTTCTACATAGAGGCTGCATTATACAACAGCAGGTTAAGCTGCCGCCAACAATGCCAGGTATAGTAGTTGTGTAATGGAGACTGTCATATCTAGTAACATGTCATTTAACTTCATGGCATTGTAAATTTCTATTCTTCTTTCTATTGTTGATTTTGTATCATAACTTTTCATTTAAGGGAATGTACAGTAGTTATGTAATGGAGACTAACAACCAGGTGTGAGGACGCAGTGTGGTAAGCATCTCTGTCTCCAGACAAAGATGGACTTACAGTGAAACTGTTTATATTTTGACAATAGGATTCTGGACTCTCTGCCATTGTCCATGCCCACAATGATGAACATATGACTGAGTATGAAGAACTATATGTTAGTAAGGATATAAAGGAATTGGTGGGGGGAGAATTGGGGAGGGGATAGGGAATATGGAACTATATCGTAAAATGATAGCAATAATAATAAAATGTGAAAAAAATTTAAATGTTGCACATACACAGGAGGAAAAAGATGAAAACTAAACTATTAAAAGAACTAACACTGATTGACAATAACAAACTTTTTTTTTTTTTACTTAACATATACCCAAAAAAGTGAGAAACCCCATCTGCTGGGTCACTTGAGTGGCAACAACAGAGCCGAGTGTCAGCAGCAAAGAACTCCATCGGGGCCTCCCACAAGGGTGGGAAGCAATCAACCAAGCACTTAGGACATCCTCTGATTCCTCCCAGGCACGGGAGCAGGAAGCCATGCCAAGCACTCTGAAATATAATGCGGGCACCCCAACGAACAACTTCTTCCGCTGAATCATAATGCAAACTCCAATGGCTTTTATTTTCTTCCCTATATTTACACACAATACTTTCACCATAATTTATTTTAATGAAAGAAAATTAGAGTTTCACAATATTTTACACACCTGTTCTACACAACTGCCCCTCCCTGGTTCTCCAGATCTACCACATTCACTCTGCACTGAATCACCTTTACATACAGACCTGAAGCACAGTAAGCTGAAATTTAGTCCCCTTCTCTGGTCGAGGACAGGAAGCCCGTCGTTGCTTAATCCGGTCCGGTGGTTTGCCATTCACATTGGTATTATCAAGGTTACTGGTATTTTCCTTCATAGTTGCCATATCTTGATTCAAGCTAGTAATTTTAAAAGAAATCAACTTATTTCAATCCTCATCATAAAATTCTTAAAAAAAATAAAACTCCCAAGTGATTACAAAACTCATACAGTTGAAAGGGAAACTGATAAACATCTTTTATAAGTTATTACAGGGCTCTGTAAATATGAAAATCCACTGCAGTACAGGCTTTAAATGGCTGAGTTCTATACTATGTGAATATTACAATAAAGCTGCTTTTTAAAGTCATGGAAAAATGAGATATTATATTTATTTGGCAAATATCTTCTTACAATGGTAGAATGGGAAGAAAAACATTCCCAGAGGTAGATCTCTTTTTCTTAGGGGATGTTCTTGATCAAGCTCATCTATTTGGGTTACCTCAGCAATACACTCAAATAAAACTTCTCAAATTCTCAGGCGAAATTTACTTGTTTATGTAACAAACCAGTTATCAAAATAGTGTGGGAGATAGGAGTACTGCAGAAAACAGAACAAGAAATGAAAATAGAGGATACAAAAATGGCTCCATGTTAACTACTTCTAACTAGATACATTTTACAAGTCAGTAGTGATTATGAAAGATCAGGCCAGCTTTCATCTGTAAAACTCACTTTCAGCTTTCTTTCTAATAAGTTTCGTTCCATAAATCAAAAAGTCAATATGCATGAAATTTTAGAAGAGAAGATCAGCAACCACTAAATGGATATCTATTTTTACTCAAAGATAATGTTTTTTAAAATTTTTATTTTTCATTATACAATTCCATAGGCTTAGGGACTTTCTGTTCCAGACACATATCTTTTAAATTAATTTTACTACTTTCATTTTTAAAAATTTATTTTTTTTTATTGCAAAGTCAGATATACAGAGAGGAGGAGAGACAGAGTCTTGGGACCCTGCACTCCCATGGGAGACACTGAAGAAGCTCCTGCTCTGGCTGTTGCAGCCACATGGGGAGTAAATCAGTGGATGAAGATCTTTCTCTCTGGCTCTCCTTCTTACTTTGTGTATTAGCAGTATCTTTATTTTAAATTGCATTATTAATTGGAAACCTGTGCTAAGGAATCTGCTAACCAGAAGTAGGACCAAAAGTAAAAGAAGACACAAAGGCATAATGAATATTACAGAACTCTCCCCTGCAAAGGAGCAAAAGCCTTTGCTAACCTGAGTTAACTGAGGAATACTTTGAGAAAATAGGGGACATAGAATTTAAAATACTTGTTATAAAGCTTCTTGACAACGATAAGCACATAAAGCAAGCATCCAAGGAATTTAAGGAATATGTCACTGGAAATGAATCAAATGAAAACCAATATATCAGAAATTAAGAATACAGTGGAACAAACTAAAAGTATGATGGAGAATCTCCAAAACAGAATGAACTAAGCAGTAGAAACAATCTCAGAAACGGAAAATATTTCCTGTCACTGGAGGAAATAAATAGAAAGCTAGGAGCAGAGTTGGGTCAAGCTAAAAAAAAGTATTAAAGAACTGAAAGACACAATTAAAAGGCCAAATATAGGAATTATTCGAGTTCTAGAACGTGCAGAAAGAGAAGCTGGGTTTAAAAAATATATTAAATAAAATAATAAAGGAAAACTATCCTAATAGGGAGGGGCTTCTCCCTTTATCTCCCCCCTTACCCCAGATACAGAAAAAAAAGAGAATGTGGAAACAATGGTCTTACCCACTTTCCTGTAGCCCTAGACCCTTTGTGCCCTAATCAACTACATAAGGATTATCAAAATAAAATAATAATTAAAAAAAAAAAAACCTACAGGAGGGACACAGACTCCAAACAGGGTGGACCAAAAGCTATAGTCACCACAACACATCACAATTCAGCTCTCCTTAGCTGAACATAAGAAAAAGACCTTTAAATGTGCTAGGCAAAAAAAAAAAAATCAACTGACATAAATGAATGGCAATTAAATTTACAGGAGACCTCTCACAGGAAACTCTTCAAGTCAGAAGAGAATGGAGCGACATATTCCAGATTATAAAAGCAAAAAATTGTCAGCCCAGAATAACGTACCCAGCAAAGCTTTCCTTTGTCTTTGAAAATGAAATAAAATTTTTCCATAGTAAAGAGAAGTTAAAAGAATATGCCTCTTCCAAACCTGCCCTCAAAAGATGTTTTAAGATGTTCTTGACAGAGAAAAGGAGTAACATCCACTGAAACTAATTTGCATTATTTCTTATGTCCATCTTGAACACTTATAAGCTCATTAGAAAAACACAGCATAATTTAAAAAAAATGTTTTAAATGGTCAACAATCCCAAAATCCATATAATGCTAATTTATACAAAAATACCTAACATTTTTGTTAAATGTGCACACAGAGACCAGAGAAGCTAATAATGTCATCTCATTCAGCACATCTTCATTGTTTCTGTGGAATTAATTCAACACGACTACTTACCTTCGAACTGAATCTGGCTGTTGAAGAGCTGCTTGTTCAACTCCAACGGGTTGGAATGTAGGCTATAAACAGTACAGAAAAAAATTTGCTTTGTTAATGGAAAAATTTAAACTAAAGATGTATTTCCTGCTATTTCAGAAAACATGAGTACTAGATTTCATGTTTTGGTTAGTGTTCAAAATAGGTAGCACATGTATATCATTTAATATCTACATCAATACTATTCTTGATATTTTACCAAATCTAAAGAAAAATGAAATTCAATGCAGTTTTTCACTTTCAAAAGTCAACAGTGTTTTGTGTACCTTGGTTTATTATTTTTCAATGGATACCACTACTGCTAAGATTTCAATCCTGGTAATAAAACTAGTAAGAAGAGTTATCTGGTCTCCTCCACTCGTTTCTTTTCATTAGAATATTGCCAACTATGTAGTAGCTGCAACACAGGGTTCTGGAAGAAAAATTGAAGCTTTTTAAAAAACAAACACAGGAAAAAAATTCAAATTCAGGGGCACAGATAAAGCTGCCACCTGCAACGCCGACACCAAATATGAGCTCCAGTTCAGGTTCAGGTTCTGGCTGCTCCACTCTGAATCCAGCTCCCTCCTAATGGCCTGGACAGCAGAAGATGGCCCAAGCACTTGGGCCAAAGTCAACTGCACAGGAGAGCTAGATGAAACTAAGCTCTCTAGCCTGACTACACCCATCTGCTACAGCCATGGGGCAATGAATGAGCAGATCGAACACATCTCTCTTTAACTTTCTGATCTTTCAAGATACGTACTTGTTTTTTATTGAAAGGCAGAATTAGACATATATATAGAGAGAGCGAGAGAAAGAGAGAAAAAGAGAGAGACAGAGAAAGAGAGCACTTTATTCCCCAAATGGCCACAATAGCTGGAGTTTAGCTGATTCGAAGCCAGGAGCTAGGAGCTTCTGAGTGTCCGATGTGGGTGCAGGATCCCAAGGCTTTGAGCCGACCTCTTCTGCTTTCCCAGGTGACAAAGCAGGGAGCTGGATGGGAAGTGGAGCAACCAGGACTTGAACCTCCAACCATATTGGGAACAGACATCATAGGCAAAAGCCTAGTTTACAAAGCCCCGATGGTACAGCACCTCCACGATACCCACTAACTGTGACCATTTTCCATTTCTGGAGTGAACCAGCAAATCGAAGGTAATCTTTCTCTCTTTCTCACTCTTTTGTCTGCAACTGTGCCTTTAAAATAAAAATGAATTAATCTTTAAAAAGGGGGGAGGAGGATGAAAATCAGTTTTTCCCTGTAACAATGGCTTGTTGCATTATGGAATATAGTTGCAAACAGAAAAAAAAAAATCATTACTGCCTCCTCTTCTGGCTCCATTAATAAATAAAGGCATATTCACAGTGGATATTACATAGCCCTTTACAAGTGTGTTTAGGCTTCCATGTGGTGAGGAAGAAAATGGCGCTCATTCCCGTAGCGGGCGGAACAGGAAAGCTCCTCCATTTTCTGCGTTGGTGAAGCAGGAAAGCTCTTTGGAGCAGCCCTGGGAGATACTAGCTGGGGAAGGGAACAGCCAGTCGGGCCGGCCCGCTCAGAGCAGCCACGGCCGAGGGAGCCGTGCGGCCAGGTGAGCGTGCCGGGCGAGCAGGCCACCGTCCCTGGGCCGCCATGGCGGCCTTCACTCCGTGAGGCGGCAAGGCCAAGCCGGTGGGAAACAGGGTGGAGAAGGCCCGCAGAAGGCCCTGTACACCTACCATGCAAAGCTGCAGCCAGCGGAGGTGCCCCCGGACACTGGCCTGAGTGCATTCGGGCAGCCCAACTTCCACAGAGTCCAATCTCGTGTCGGTTGGGAGCAGCACGCTACAAGCCCGCTCAATCTGAAGAACGCCAGAGAAGGAGCTGGGCGGGAAGGGGGGGATGTGAACGCCCCCTTATGCAGCTCCTATGGCTTGCTCAGAGTACTACGTCGAGAACGTGAGGAGGTGGTGCTAAGTGGCGCAACGTGCTTGCCCGCGCTTTGTGCCAGCCCCACCCCACCTCGTGCAAGTCACCCCGCCTGTGCTTCCTGGAGAGAGAGATGGGGGGGGGAGATAGAAACAAACAGACGATTCATCCTCCTTTAGAAGAAAGGAGAAAGTACTTGGAGAGCATTTCACACACGGAGCCGGGACCCAATACTTGGGCCATCTTCCCATGCAAATTAATTAATTAACTAATTAATTAATTAAAATGTGCATAATAAGAATGTTTTAAAGTAAAAAAAAATATTAACGAGAACATATTACTAGTTTCAAAATACACATGCATACGTTCCTACACAAAAGCTGGCAAGAAAATGGATCAAGGGGACCTGGCACAATAGCGTCGTGGCTAAACTCATCGGCTTGACTGCTCTGGGATTCCATATGGGCGCCGGTTCTAACCCCAGCGGCCTCGCTTCCCATCCAGCTCCCTGCTTGTGACCTGGGAAGGCTGTAGAGGGTGGTCAAAAGCCTTGGGACCCTGCACCCGCCTGGGAGACCTGGAAGAACCTCCAGTCTCCTGGCTTCAGAAGGGCTTAGCTCCAGCGGTTGAGGACGCTTGGGGAATAAACCATCGGACAGAAGATCTTCATCTCTGTCTCTCCTCCTCTCTGTATATTTAACTTTCCAATACAAATAAATAAATTTAAAAGAAGAGAGAGAGAAAGAAGAGAGAGTTTATCTACATTCATATTGCTTTGGCAAAAACAAACAAAAAAATAGGGCCCGGCGCGAAGGCTTAGTGCCTAAATCCTCAACTTGCATTCACTAGATGCCATATGGGTGCCTGTTCGTGTACCAGCAGCCCCGCTTCCCATCCAGCTCCCTGCCTGTGGCCTGGGAAAGCAGTCAAGGACGGCCTAAAGCCTTGGGACCCTGCACGTGCATAGGAAACCCATCAAAGGCTCCTAGATCCTGGCTTCAGATCGGCTCTATTCTGGCCATAGTGGCCAATTGGGGAGTGGACCAGTGGAAAGAAGGTCTTTCTGTCTTTCCATCTCTCTGTAAATCTGCCTTTCAATAACAGAAAGTAAATCTTTTTTTAAAAATAAGAGCAAAATAAACTAACTTTATACTAATATATTTACAAACCCTCAGATCTGATCATCATAGCACAGGTCGCACTCTTTCAACATAAAATATGGTAATTTTAATCATTAGAAAAAAATTGAAAGATTTCATAACTCTGAAAGACATCTGCAAAAATTGCTCAATATCTGTTTATAATAAAAAGGCAGATAAACCCGGCCTCGCATGGTTGCCTATCAGCTGAAGCACCAGGATCCCATAAGTGCGCCAATTCTAATCCCAGCAGCCCCCCTTCCCATCCAGCTCCCTATTTGTGGCCTTGGAAAGTAGTGGAGGACGGCCCAAAGCCTTGGGACCCTGCACCTGCGTGGGGGACCCAGAAGAGCTCCTGGCTCCTGGCTTCGGGTTGGTGTGGCTTCAGCAATTGTGGTCACTTTGGGAGTGACTCATAGAACAGACGATCTTCCTCTCTGTCTCTCCTCCCTCTCTCTTTCTTTCTCTCTCTTTCTCTCTCTCTATATATAAATGTATTTTGTATTGCAAATTCATATATATATATATGTATGACTTTGCATTTGCAATACAAATTAAATAAATCTTTTTAAAAAGGCAGCTAAACGAAACAGCTATGATTCAAAGGACCAACACAAAGCCTCATTAATAATCCCATCCATACTTTCAAGTGGATATAGAATATCATTCCAGATTTTTCTCATCATGTCTATATCTTCTTTCTTTCTACTTCCTGCAGTCTTTGCCACCGTATTCCGGTACCAGGATACCGTGACACTGCTGCATCTACCTGAGACCTACTACCATTTTCTGAAGTTGCCTGAATACGAAAATTTAATTTGAATGCATTTTGTTCAATTTAATGTATATAATTTAATTTGAATGCATTTTGTTCAAATGTAATTTGTTAAAGTGCTTACTCTCAATATTAGCCAGTGACTATGATAAGGAGCTGATTATCTAATCTAAGATTAGGGCTACTCAAATTGATTAAGGGAAAAAAAATCCTAAGGACAGGTTGAATAAGGTGGAAGACAAAGAGAATGTACAGAACAATATACCCCCAACTTCAAATTCAATCCCTATTCCTATTAAGAATAGCACACTCAGTGGCTAAATCCTTGCATTCCATGCAATGGTTTGACTGGGTAATCCTTCCCCAGGATCTTGTATGGGCACTGTGTCCCATCTTCTCCACTTCCCATCCTGCATATGGCTTGGGAAAATAGCGGAGGACAGCCCAAAGCCTTGGGACCCTGCACCCACATGGGAGACCCAGAAGAAGCTCCTGGCTCCAACCTTCAGATCAGCACAGCTCCGATTGTTGTTGGCATTTGGGAAGTGAACCAGCAGATGGAAAATCATTCTATCTCTCCTCTCTGTAAATCTGCATTTCCAATGAAAATAAATGAATCTTTAAAAAAAAGCCTACTATTTATTGCTAAGCACATTAAATTCAATCCTTAAAAAACAGTAAGCAGTAAGTAGTTAACCTTTATTTTACGAATGAGGAAGCTTAATCTATAAGAGATGGAAGCCAATATTGAAATATAAACAAGAATGAATGAATCGATAAGTTATCCCAAGAACTTCGGAGCAAAGAATCTTGCATCTAACACAGAGCTTTTTACTTGGCTCTTTTTCCTCTACTCGTTCCACCAGTCCTCTGCTTTATATACCAATTAATCTCAGTCCTAGCTGCACATTATACAATCCAAGAAAAGAGAGGAGAAGAAAAAGGAAGAAGGGAAGAAAGAAAAAAAGAAAATCTAAGGCCATGTACAACATCGCAGAGATTCTCAGTCAGTTATTCTGGAATAAAGGGAACCAAACTGATAAACTTTTTTAAACATCTCATGAACTGCCTTATTGTATAACTAGTTCCACAAATGCTCTCCCTTTGAATTGCTGTTTAACAACCACTATTTACTGAGCACTTATGTCAAGCACTACTCATGTATTATCTGCTCTAATCCTAATATGCTGTAAACATTTTTTCCAACATAATGAAGAT